GCCTGGCTGAAAATCATCACATGTTGGTAATGCTTGCTTTAACCCAAGTCCCTTCCTCCAAAGAAAAATTGTTTTTATGGGTACCCACATGGTTCCCAGTTACATTTACTTCATGTGGGATTTGGGAAACAATCCTTGTTTATTCAGACCTTTCCCCTTCTCTCAATTCTTTTGCCAGTACATTGATAACTGCCATTACCATTTCATATTATCGCCCCAAACTGAAAAACTTTTAAGTTTTAAAGTTCCACTGTTCTCTCATCTTCATGTGGTCGATCTGTGATTCTTCACAATCCTTCCTCAACCTCATTCCCTATTTCTGGGGAATAGACTGTCAAAAAGTACTTATAATAAGCAACTGATTCCAACAACCACTTTACAGCTTCCTCACAATGCTGTAAGAATTCCATTCTATTCTGCCAGCTTTTCTCATGCTGTTCTGATATTGCAACCTTTCTCATTAGCATATTTGATATGTTTTCATAGAATGGTTTCAACACAGGAGGTGGTTATTTGGTCCGTTGTGTGTGCACTGGTTCTTTGAGGGAACAATCTGCTCTGTGTCACGAACATGCCAAATCTCTATTGCCCTGCAATTTTTTCCCTTTCAGATAATGATCCAATTTCCTTTTGAAAGCTTCAATTGACTCTACACGACAGTCTCAGATACTGCATTCTCAATCCTAAATAAACCCAGTTCATGAAAAAGCATTTTCATGTTGTCATTGCTTACTTTGACAATTCCTCAAATCATTACTCTCTGCTTTATGATCCTTCCAGCAATAGGAACAGTCTCACTCTAATTACAGTGTACATCAGTATATACATGTGCACTATTATATATGTGTGCACCTACAGGCATTCCCCTTGGAATGGAGCTTTACGTGGAGAATGAAAAAAGGCCACAAAAAACTGGGTAAGCTGCTGTATAAGAGTGGAGGAGGAGGAAGGAAGGGAAGGATTCTAAGCAGGCAGAACGCCTTAATATTGTGGACATTTTAAACTTATAATTCCAAACTATTTTTTTAAAAAAAAAGGACTGATACAGCCAAAACTGACTGGATGTAATTGGGTGGCTATCTAAAAAGATAGAGACACTGATGGGGTATAACACCTAAAATGTCAAAGAAACCTCAAACATAGCAGACTGTGATCGCTTGTGACTACAAAGGTAATGAGAGGCTGACCCCTGCTCAATAACAAAATGTTCCTTTTGAGGATTATATTCCAAACTACAGACAGATTTTGAGTTTTCCCTTTGAAGAATATACTGGACAGACTTTACAAAGCCAGTTTCAACTCTTCTGGAGGGAACCAGGGAACTGAAAGCTCTTGTGTTCCCTCTATGTTATGTGGCTGCACAAGCTGTTCGATGTCCCAAGCTGATTGCGACATTGATTTCCGATTTTGGAAGTTGCTGCCATGTGCAGGCCTCAGAGGTTCATGCAGTGGTAAGAAAATGAGAAGGAAAGCTGTTTTGTGTATCACCCTGGGTTCAAGTTTTAAGAAGGTAAACCAGTTCATCTCTCCTCAACTGGGAACTTAACAATTTGGGTATCCCATCAGGAAGTGTAGTGGTTTGGGAAACTGTAATGAATTGGGGAACCTCAACTGGGATCTGGTTGCAACAGTATCAGCAACTTGACATAAAATGTAAGGACTGGTGGCAGTGAATCTGCCATGTTGGCAGTGCAACGTTATAAGATACACATTCATTCTTGTGGTTACAACAACATTAGGTTCAGATGTCTGCTCTAGCTTTATAGTAAGTGTTTATTACCTTAGATATCTACCAATTATTATTGGCTTCAAAAGAAGCCTGATTTTAATTACAGCAATACAATTACATTATATGTAAGTAAATGACTTAATTCAAAACAGACAAAAGGTTTCACGTATGTTGCAGCAAATACATTTTCTGAAGAAGGGTCTAGGCCCGAGGCGTCGGCCTTCCTGCTCCTCTGGTGCTGCTTGGCCTGCTGTGTTCATCCAGCTGTACACCTTGTTATCTCAAATTCTCCAGCATCTGCAGTTCCTGCTATCTCTACTACATTTGAGAGTTTGGGTCAGCTGCACATTTTGTAATTATGCCCTGTAGTGTATGGGTGCATTAACCAATGCACCATCATATCAACCAACATCCCATCAAACAAAAAGTGTGATTTATCTTATCCAGGGGGATGACACTACAACTAGCCTCAGTATCTATAGATTTAGGAAAGGGATATATGACATACCTCAAACTCTTGAGAGTTATTAACATCCCTGCAAGAAAGTGCTAATGCACGGATGTAGCCTAGGACAGGAATGGGCTCAGTGTGAAGTTCCGAGCAACGTGTATCAGCAGGCTGTTCAAATAATGTTTTAACTCGCAAATAAAGATTGACCCACATTTTAGGTAGGGAATTCAACCACTTTAATGGCTTATGAAACTGGAAGAAGGATGTGAAAATAGTGGCTGATAAGATTCTGGAAATAACTATACACTTCTGTTGCAAATGTGCAATAGTATGCAAAGTTTCACAAATGGACAGTGCTTAGACTGTAAATGGATAATAATGTAATCCCAAGTATTGCTTCAGATGTGGAAGCCATATGTAAGCACATCTAACCTCATGGCCTCCCCATATCTGACACAATGAAATGCCAAGAGCTGATGCTTCAACTGGGTGCAAAGCTGATTAAATCCACATAAACTAATGCAGCTGATGTACCAAAATAGTACTTCATTTCAGTTGTCCATTTGCAACATGTTCTTCAGAAAAAAATACAAACATTTAAACTTTGTTCCTTGGTGACTTTTTTTACTGCAATAGGACTCTCCTCTGTTTACGCAAGTCCTTATGCTGAACATTCAAGTGCTAATCTTTCCAAAGACTAATAAAAACATTAAGTACTGAAGAAACTCAATAGGTCTGGCAGAATTTAAAGAGATCAGACTTAAACTGTTAGCATCTGTAAAGAGGGATACTGAGTTATCAGACCTGCTGAGCTTCTCGCGCACTTTTCTTTCAGATTTCGAGAAACTGCAGTATTCGGTTTTCTGAAGGCATACTAAGCTTTAGATAGAGAAAAATAGTCGTTTGACAGAAATTTCAAGTTCCAGGCTTTGTTATTTAAACTTGTGCAAAAGAATGAACACTTGGGCAAGGGACTGGAGTTGTACTTCACAGTTAAATACCTGAGAGTCGTGGTCCTGTTCATTCATCTGATGCACTTCAGTGACAAATTATACGATGCTTTGAATGAAAACACAATACTCACTGCACAATGAGGGGCAGGTCTTTGAAATGGAAGGGTCTCTGGAAGTAGGCAGCAATGGCGTGATGTTTGGCCTGGGACTTCAACACTAGTCCTTGGTTTCCTGGCATTTTCTGATCATAAGATTCTTCTACAGCCCATATTCCTAGACCATAAACCACAATTAGCCACTACTTCAAGAACATATTATTATAAACGCTAAGCCAGTCAATACAAAATGTTTAACACCCAGTACTGTAACAGTATCATATGCTGCACCATAAGCACAGTACCCCAGATTTGTGCTGGGGTATATTTGAACTGTATCTCACTCTGTTCAATATAGTATCTGTGAAGCAGACTATTCAGTGGTTTCATAAACATACTGTGCCATATAGCAACTCAATATGGTCCAAGTGAGTGGACGACAGGATCTAGATAATCATTAATTCCAGCCATGATAAAAAAAAATGCCTAAATCATTGTTTGTGGAACAGATTAGCTCGGCTGGCTAAATGGTCATCTTGTGTTCATAAGTAACAACAGCATAGGTTTGATTCTTTACCTGTTTAAAGGTAGACTAGAGAGCCTCTGAGGCTTGCCTCGGACAGCACAAGGCAATGAACTATCACTGTCAAAAACTGCCAAGAGAGAAGTTCAGGATGACACATTAATAGTCAATGAGCCAAAGACTTGCATTTGGGAACAGTATTTATGAACGAATAATTGTTTAGGCTCAGATGTGAAAAATGGCTGAAAAAGGGTTTCTGGGGCCTTTGGTACGGTACTCCAATGCAAGTTAAAACTTGCAGTAGACATGAAGAAAAACCAAGAAAAACAGAAAGTGAAGTTGGGGATCAAATTATGACATACCAAGGAAGGACAACAAACAGGTAACTAAGTATAATTCGGCTTAAATCACTGATCAGGACAGGGTATTTTCTACATAGAAAGATGAATCGCTAAGCTAAAGGAATTAGCTTAGATAAAGACTGAATACATGTTATTGGGAAGGTGGTGGAATATTGGTAATCCAGAGTCCCAGATTAATGCTGTGGGGAGATGGA